TACGGCCCTCGGAGGATGTTGAAAACATTGAAATGGCCCTTGAGAGGAAAAAGGTTCCCCACCCCTGGTCTATAGTTACCGGAACAGCAGAGTCCAGTTTAAATGAGTTCACAGCCTTTTCCTTCAGTGCTGTGCTTGAAACCTGTGGCTGCTGCAATGCAGTATGAAGTAGCAGGGATTTACAGGAGACCCCCTGCATTGCACTCCAGGGTCTGGGCTGAACAGCACTAACACTTACAAATAAAAAGACATGTGGACAATTCTAGACTATTCGTAATTCAAGTTACACAGCTTCTTGTGCTTAGACGCTCGACATTGAGAAGTTATAGGCTTCTTCTTTTATTTAATGACATAAACGCATTTTTGGACTTGCTTATACAGTAGGTATTGCAGAAAAGAAACACAGGTATCATATAGATCAGGGATGGGCATATGGCGGCACGGGGGCATGCGGCCCCCACCTCCTCTATTTGCGGCCCTCAGATTAATTTATAAACAACGTAAAAACCATTCTCTTGCGTTTCGGTTCAAAAGGGACCGAGTTACTTTGTTTTTTATCTTAAATATTGTGCTTTTCATCCAATTGCCTCAAGACCTAATGTTATCCTCCACACTAGGCCTCTGAACATATACAATTGATGATCACCACTTGCATTGATTGTTTTGTGATTTATTCAACAGTGAAACATAGGAAATGAATGGGTATGAGTGTATTATGTTCATCCTGCAGATGGAAAACATCTCCACACACACACACACACACACACACACACACACACACACACACACACACACATACATACACACACACACACACACACACACACACACACACACACACACACACACACACACACTTCTTGTGCTTATGTCCCCCCACACCTTCCAGACAAAACAATTTACTCTAAGTTACGGGAACCTCTCCCTTTCTCACGCTGTATGATACAATGTATCATACCTTCTCACAGGTGCAAGCTCTGTGCCCCTCGAGAAAGAAAAACCTCTCACTTTCCCGCAGTAAATGCCCCTCCATTACTGTCTCTCATGCAGTTATATTTGTGCCTTGCTCACATTTGACTCATTGACTAAATGAGTAGCCAACCGGTTAGGCGATTTTCTGTCAGAGAGGCTCTGGACAAATGTTTTGAACCAGATAAGGAGGAGATTGAACCAGACATAGAGGACGATGTCTCAGAAATGGAAGACAACAGCGATCCAGACTATGAGCCTGACCAACAGTCAACAGACCAGGAAGAGGCCCCTGAGGGAGAGGAGCCCTGAATATTTATTTTTTCTCTAAATGTTCATTGAGGAAAACAGTATCAGTGTCTTATTTTATATTCATCACAGTGAATGCTGAACTTGATGGGCCCACCGGTGGGTCCTGACCATATACTGTAGTTGAAAGTACATACAGAAACACTGACTTGCTTGTATCAAATCAATACATCCCTTACAACTCACCAAGTGTCAGAAAACACAACCCTCTCTCTTTTCCTCCATACCCAAATCTCTAAAAACGGGGCTGCAACAGAGCTGATACAGATTTGAATTTTTCTGACGTCAGAAAAGGGGTGCTCCACCTATATGGGCAACTCTCCACCTATTAGGGGAATGTGGGGTTGGGCCACGGCCACGGCCATTGCCGCTCGAAAGCGCTGGAGACGCTGTAGTACATATGCCAGGCCTGTAAATGGCGCTGTAGTCTGCCACAAAAGCAGCGAAGAAGACTTCTCACAGAATCAGCCCTTAGGGCTGGAAAAGAACAAATAGAGCGAAATGAGGCATGGCTAAAATGCATAATCTGTTTGGTATTTTAACCGACATGTTTTATATAGGTATAGCCCTACAATATATTATTCAAATATAGCATGATAGGTCCACTTTAAAATACAATTTTTTGTTTTTGTTTACTTGTAGTACTGATACCGTCCACTAGACTCCTAGTTACGTCGCGATCTGCGTATGATGATGATGATGATGATGATGATGATGATGATGATGATGATTTTGTTCGGCAGCCAAATACGGCAAAATAATCTGTGACGCGTTTGTGTGTATTCTTGTGTTTGTTTCCCGGGGAAACACTCACAAGAAACATCGGCTGTTGTTATGCTTGCTGTGACGTTAAGTTGCCTCTTGTAATTATGCCTTTACAAGCTTAAAAGTTGTATTCATCATCTGAATTTGGCGAAACAAGTTTAATATTCTAAAAACCAAGACTTTGTTTATTTGAAATCAGATGAAAACAAACTGTCACGGACCCTGCCGTGTTATCTATGATTACTATACGCTTTTCATTCAGAATTTCAGCGGGAGGGAGGGGAGTGGTGCTGAGGAACAGCAGAGTGCGGGTTGACAGGTGCCTGTGTTGACGTTCCCCTTATTGTGTCTTAGGTTCAAGTTAGACAACTAATGTCTGGGTTAGTGTTCATGACTTCATGTGTATGTCATCGTAATGGTTAATCTTAATGCACATACATTTTCCATGCTTTCCAATAGGTTAAAATAGTTGTATTCCACTGTTAAATAACCTGTTCAATACAAACATGCCACTTGTAAAAATTAAATAACATTTCTGTGAACTGATATTTGTTTAGTGAGCTTATTAGAGGATGTTCCCTGAAAGATTGTAAAATGTCAATGAAGATGTCAGACTTAGTATATTTGTTAATAATTACATATAATACATGGAATTTGTGTGTGTGTGTGTGTGTGTGTGTGTGTGTGTGTGTGTGTGTGTGTGTGTGTGTGTGTGTTTCCAAGTGAATCTGCGGCCCCCTGGTGGCCAGTACATCAATGATGTGGCCCACCACCATCCAAGTTGCCCATCCCTGATATAGATACTTGTAACAGAAAAGAAAAAAAGTCAAGATAAGATGGGTCAAGCTACTTTTTTTTTACTTAAGTGATAAATCATAGCAGTACAGGACAGTAAAGGACAGTAAAATGCCATTTCCTTCAAATGACCCAAACAACTGCAAAGTAAAATGATGACCTGTCATTCATCTTGTGGCTCTGTGATAATGATCCATAGTTTCTAAATCCTCAAATGTATTTTTCTTGCTCTCTGTTCCTGCGACAAAACTTCTGATGCAGCTCTGAAATAAATACCTATTGGAAACAAAATCATCGTGGACACCTTCATCTGCACCTTACACCTTCACCCATTTTTTTTCATGTCATTTCATTTGTGCACACACAGCATTTAAAGTGCTGGGACCCTTCACTTTTAATTAAAGCAAGCCAGCTAATGCTAAGTGTACTGAGCCTTATAGTGTGTATTAACCGTCTTTGTAATGGGCCTCTGCCTCATAAATAATGTCTGTGCTGTCATGAGGAACCTGGGAAAGGCATTAAGAGATAGTGAAAGGTACCCGCATGTGTGGCAGCAGGCAGACAGACAGAAGGGACGATGATGGGAGCTGTGGGGGTCTCAGGTCTGCTGGGAGTAACCTTGGCAAAGCCGTGTCTCACACAAATCATCCCGCTGGCCTCCCCTCACTCCCCCCTCCCCTTTCACCTCCTTTATCCGTCACAACTGAGGGATTCCCGCTGACCTTTGGCTTCTCTTGAGGATTTTCCTGGTCACGATGCATTCGATAGCAGTGAGAGGAATCACTATTGATCAGCGTGTTCTCCATTCTGAATAAAACAGAGCACAATGATGGAGGTTTTGCTCTATTTTAGTAACCTTCTTATGTATTATTGATGAAGTGGGTTGCCAGGAAAGGGAAATATAACTGCTGAAACAAGAGTTACAGAATGTGCAGTCACGTTGTTGCCTCTGTATATTTTCATAACTTAAACAATAAAGGTATTCACACCTGAATGACGACACCTTAAAAACATACATTTAAGGAAGATTGATTGTGAGAAAATGCTATTTACTGTTGTTTTTTGTCTTTTAAAATGTATGTTTGTCCTTCAACCTTTACCTAATCATGCTATATAGAATCAGAACCATGGGTATTCTGATTCTATATTAAACCAGAATAAATGGTAACGCCTATTTGTGGCATTGCAGTTTTGAAAAAAAGAGAGCAGCTGACCAACAGCAGTGCTGCTAAACAATGCTGGAGACGTGTGCCCCTTTAAATTGCCCACACTGCAGATAAGGTAAGGAGTGGTAGGCTTCAGTGCGGATGGAGAGTGCTTTTTTTGTTGCCCTCTCCTTCTCCAGCATGTCTCTTGGTATGCAGAGCAGTGCCCTCATGTCGGATTGACCAAGCTTTACACAGTGGCCACTGTGACACTGAAATATTTCCCCCAGTAATCTTTCACCTGGAAGATAAATCGTATCACCTGCCGCTGTGCTGACACCATGCAGGACCAACAATAAAGGCCGCTGTATTATAACATGTGTGCGTAATTGCATAATTGCATGGCCCAAAATACAAGGCGATTCCTTCATGCATGTCGTTTCAACTCAGTGTCCGAAGACACATGCTCTGATCACCATGTGGAAAACTCAAATGTGTGTGTGTGTGTGTGTGTGTGTGTGTGTGTGTGTGTGTGTGTGTGTGTGTGTGTGTGTGTGTGTGTGTGTGCGTGTGCGTGTGTGTGCGTGTGTGCGTGTGTGTGCGTGTGTGTGCACATGGTCTGCAGCTCAGACACTGGATTTTGGTTTAAGATGTTGTTCATGTGGCGAGAGCAAGCCTAGCGAGCAATAAACATTGTGCACTGGCTGAGTGGCGGGTGGCAGATTTGTTCTCGCACTGACATGAAAAGAGGACTTATAATTTATGCATATGTCCCAGAACGCGTCTAATTATTAAATCTTGGTAATAAGATTATGTTTTTTTTGTAAGCCTTCTCCCTCCTCCTCGCTTGCCTCGCTTGCCTCGCTTGTTTCCTCCCTCTGCAGATGTTGCCTCTCAGCATCAGCTCCCTTTACCTTTGCGGCTGTCTGCAGCCACAGCTCGTCACAGTCACGCTGGAGGGGAACAGCGGAGGCAGATCTTTCTGCTGATCCCAGCACCTTTGGTTATTAAGGGAAGCACCAACACCTCCTCGATCGCTTCCCTCCTCCCTTTTTTGCCAATCGCCATCCCACGACAGCCGGAGGAAAGGAGTCGGGGAGGGGAAAGCGAGGACACACCCGCACATACTGTACCCGCTTTACACCGCGAGGATGACAACATGAGGTGGATATCATCGACTGCCCCAAATTGGATTTTTTTTTAACCCGCTCTGAAGACGGAAGGGCTGTTTGTCGCAGCTGGCTATTCACCTTCCTGGTACCGGAGTCCAGATGACTGCAGGTATGTATGTATGGATAAAGCAGATCTGATTGTATGTTCTAAAGTATTGGCGTTTTGTTGTTAATGCACTGATTTGCACTTCCATTGTAATCGTCATAGTATAGACAATAAACATGTATTTATGGATTTGTTTCATTAGGATTTTATTTGTAAAACTGCTGTGAGTGGAGATGATGCAGGCAAGATATGCAGGTTTTCTCTTGGAACCTATTTCCTTCTATGGATAAATTATGTATAGATCTTTTTTAATATTTCAGAGACAGGCACCATTTCAGGACTAAAATGCCCGAACAAAACAAAACAGTTAATATGAAGCATGCGTTTGTTTGGTACTGCAGTAAAGCTGATATGCATCTTGTACGTTTGTGTTTAGACTGCAGTGATTTTCTATGATATTCTAGACAGGATGCTGTCTGTATGAATTTGGTTACTGCCTGCTGCATTGCCATATTCATGGGTTGACTGCAAAAAGGTAGTCCCACTCATTACACTGGATTTTGTCCATTGCAGTAGTATCAGTGTCCTAATTTACAAGCGTCTGTATGTTTTATATGCTGGTTAGCCCCCGAGTTTACCTGCATTGAAGCAATTTATATGCAAGGCAGATATCTTATTTGCATATTAATTTGCCCGAGTCAGAAGCAGCAGTGTCAGCCTCAAGTTTCCACAAAGCTGATTCAATATTGCATTGATTGCTTCTCACGACAGTCTAACTTTAAATAACTCTTATCAGATTTACTGACATTGTTTCAGAGGGTGGATTCATTGTCATCTCTTATCAGTTGTTGAAAGCATGTTACTGACATCTCTGGAATAAATGCAGTACTAAGTGCTGAGTCATGTCTCTGGTTTACCTGACCTTGTTGTTTGTCTTTGCTCTGTCTGTCCTGCATGCAGTCGGATCCTAGGTGACATCCTGTGGCCGTCAGGTCTTTACGGTGTCGAGCCCCCTCCTTCTCCCGGCCCCTGCCTGCAGTTCTCCAGGCTGCAGGACCCAGACTCATTGAAAGGTGCAGGCCTCCCCCCCCTGCAGAATGACTGTTGCCACGGGCGACCCCTCTGACGAGGCGGCTGCTCACCCGGGGCTGGACTACGACCCGGAGGCCGACCATGAGTGCTGTGAGAGGGTGGTCATCAACATCTCAGGGCTTCGCTTTGAGACTCAACTCAAAACCCTCTCCCAGTTTCCAGAGACCCTGCTGGGGGACCCCAAAAAGAGGATGCGCTACTTTGACCCGCTGAGGAACGAGTACTTTTTCGACAGGAACAGAACCAGCTTTGACGCCATATTGTATTATTACCAATCAGGGGGCCGGCTAAGAAGGCCGGTCAACGTCACCCTTGATATTTTCTCAGAGGAGATCCGCTTCTATGAGCTTGGCGACGAGGCCATCGAGATATTCAGAGAAGACGAGGGTTTCGTCAAGGAGGAGGAGCGGCCTCTTCCTGAAAATGAATTTCAGAGACAGGTGTGGCTGCTGTTCGAGTACCCAGAGAGCTCAGGTCCTGCTAGGATTATTGCCATAATTTCTGTCATGGTCATCCTGATATCTATCGTCAGTTTCTGCTTGGAGACTCTCCCCATTCTGCGAAACGATGACGACGACAGGTCTCCAACGAAAATATATTACCCTGAGACCAACACCACAGTCATCAGCTATACATCCACCTACTTCACTGACCCCTTCTTCATCCTGGAGACTCTCTGCATTATATGGTTCTCCTTTGAGTTTCTAGTGCGCTTCTTTGCCTGCCCCAGCAAAGCAGGCTTTTTTGGTAATATGATGAACACAATTGATGTTGTTGCTATCATCCCTTACTTCATCACTCTTGGCACAGAGCTAGCAGAAAAGCCAGATGACGGTCAAGCGGGTCAACAAGCCATGTCTTTAGCCATTCTCAGGGTCATCCGCTTAGTACGAGTGTTCAGGATTTTCAAGCTGTCACGTCACTCCAAGGGGCTTCAGATTTTGGGTCAGACGCTGAAAGCCAGCATGAGAGAACTCGGCCTGCTCATTTTCTTCCTCTTCATAGGTGTCATCCTTTTCTCAAGCGCCGTCTACTTTGCCGAAGCAGATGAGCCCGAGTCACAGTTCGAAAGCATCCCAGATGCGTTTTGGTGGGCGGTGGTGTCCATGACAACAGTTGGCTACGGTGATATGGTCCCAACTACCATCGGTGGCAAGATCGTGGGCTCCCTCTGTGCCATTGCAGGTGTGCTGACCATTGCCTTGCCCGTGCCTGTCATCGTGTCCAACTTCAACTACTTCTATCACCGTGAGACTGAAGGCGAAGAGCAGGCGCAGTACTTGCAGGTCAACGTGGCCAAAACCGATTCAGCCGAAGAGCTGAAGAAGAGCCGCAGCGGCTCCACCATCAGTAAATCGGACTATATGGAGATTCAGGAGGCAGTGAACAACAGCCGGGAGGACATTCAGGAGGAGAACCTCAAGACGGCCAACTGCACGCTGGCAAACACAAACTATGTAAACATTACAAAAATGCTCACAGACGTGTAGTCGTCGGCTATCTTCCTCCCCGTCATGGCGGGAAATGTGGAGCCGGCAATTAGACAGGACTGGTGTACAGCCTCCCACCTCACGTGTGCTGGAAAAAACAAGGCAATATAATTCAGGATGCTGATGATGATAAACAGTGAAAAAAATATATAACTAAGACCATCCGCTCACTCTTCGCTCATCCTGTCTTCACCCCTCACAACTCGCCCTTAATAACTCCTGATAACTGTCAAACAGAGTGAAATTTAAAATGTTGCATATCTGCATGGAGTTGGCTTTGTTTTGTGTGTGTGGCTGTTTTGAAAAAAAATGACAATGCCTAAACTAAAATTGTTCCTGCTCACAACAGTAGCCAACAGTAGTGCACCAAAAGAAAAGAACAAGGGAGAAACACGGCAAGAAAAAAAACAAGTATTGCTTCCAAAAGAATAAAAAGCAACACAAGTCCTGCTTTAGTCCCCCATCCCTCATTTCCCAAGCCACGCTGCTCTGCCATGCGCTTTCTGAAGAGCCCTACTCGCGCTACATATGCTGCTTCTTGGAGCCAATGAAAAAACTGTCTTATGATTCACCATTTAGGAACAAGAGGATGTGTGAGCATAAAGCAAGCTCACCCCACTACTGGATGGCCTGTGGGTGACTTATGAGGAGGTTGGTGTTTAAGTACACCACGTTATTTCAAGGATGAATGACAGCCATCAGCACTTAGCTCATGGTTCGACACCTTTTTTTCCCAGCAGACATCAGTATCTGATGAATGGCTGAGAATGGCCTTGCCTTTTCACTGCTTTGGTCTTACATGTACTGTATGTATTGCAATGCAAGCTTCCCCCCCCCCTTCCATTCACCCAAAACTGGTCTTACTGCAGAGCTTTGAGGACAACTTGAATGTTTCTTCTTGTTTTGTTCATTTTTCACAGTTTCACACACAGAAACACGCACATACTTATTCAAATAAGGTAGGTTAACTGTGACTTAACTGATAGCCGGTAGGTAGGTGCTGTTACTAGTAAAACATAGTCAGTAGATAATTGCATGACATTTTTATCTGAAAGAGAATTACCACTTGTTTCTTGACTGCCACTTGCTTCATCACACCACTGTATATTTGTGTGTACACTGCCTTCTATAAAGAGTCACAATTTTAAAAGGACGCCTGCGGGTCAAGAACCTATAGCTGTACGTTAGAGGATTTCTTAAGGAATACCCATAAGGTCAAATCCTGCTCTTAATGTGGTGTCCTTGTCGATATTTACATTCCATGTAGAAGTCATCGCTTTAAACTATTGCCAGAAAAACCGCTGAGCTGTGATTTCAGGCGTGAACTCACACTCTAGTTTTGGACATGGATCCCAGTCGCAGATGTGATAGACTCGTAGTGCTGTCTTTTTCACAGTTTTGTCACAGGATCACGTTGTCATGATCGAAATAGCAACTTTTAGGATTCTTGTATAGAGTAATGCTTCCCCCCCGAACTGCCTTTTTATCTGGGTTTACGCTAATCTCCTAATGTTGCATGACCTCAAAAACATTCCTAGAAGCATGCATTTAAGATCATAGAAGAAACAAAACAAAAAATATAATAATTACAATAGATGTATTTATTTCATATATATATAGATATATGAGTAAAATATGTATACAGACAGGACACATACTATACAGGACACATATACTATTATCAGAGAATAAAAAAACTTTAAATAGCAATGTTTAAGAGAAAGCAAGAGCCTTTCCACAATGCGCAAATCATTGCCATGTTTTTAATAAAAAAAACAATTTTGAATGACAATAATGGTTGTTCTGAGCACAGTGTCAGTTTCAGATCCAAAGACACACTCTTACTAGCCATTTTAAAAGCATCATTTTCGCTTTCAGCAAACCAGACACAAAAAATGTTGCTTCACTTAATATAAAAAAGGCTTTCTGTATTAAAGACATCGCGTTGTTCAAAACTGTATCATCCCTAGGCAAGAGTCTTGTATCAGAAAGATTTACATTGGTGATCATTTGCTCAGAATTGAAATGGAGTCTGGCTGTCCTTTTTAGAAGTCTCTGGTGCCAGAAGCTCAATCTGTCTGTAAATGTTGGCATCGAATGTGGAGTTGCTTCTAGGATTGAGTCCAGCTGAGATTCATTCACTGTTCGCTCAACACTGCCAAGGTATCAGTTAAAGGCAGTAATGTCAATATGGGAAGGATAATTAGCAGCGTTGTGTAGCAGATATTGGCTAACCTGGGGGTACTCTGACTTCACTCCTGAGTCGCTTGCTTCATCTTCTCACAGATGTCTTAGGTAATTAGAAAGGTGATGGATTAGGAGAAGCTGTGTAGCAAGACATGTCTACATGCATTCTGTCATGCCAGGATGTACATCTTTATTCTTAGGGTTTCATTCTGCTCACTACAGTCTTTAACCTGCAGTAGCAAAAATGTTTTTACACCATCGCTGCCAATATGTGCTCAGGATGCCTCGTCCAACTGCCTGACATGAGGCTTCTGAAGCCCAGATCTGTGTCTGATTTCATGTCTCTTTAAAGAGACTTTCAGTAAATAAAATAGAATAGCATAAAAGGTGGATTGAAGTCTGTAACCGAAGGTAGGACCAGATTTTGTTTAGCAATATTCCCATATTCATTTGGTGGAGAGGTCTTTGTGGACATCATGTTTTAAAAAAACGTAATGGACCTTCACAGTCCCACCAAGATCCTGTTTATCAGTTGAGTATTTTTGGAGGTGTGTTGATGAACGGCTATGTAGGAGTTTTCTGTGAGTGGTGTGTGTGTGTGTGTGTGTGTGTGTGTGTGTGTGTGTGTGTGTGTGTGTGTGTGTGTGTGTGTGTGTGTGTGTGTGTGTGTGTGTGTGTGTGTGTGTGTGTGTGTGTGTGTGTGTGTGTGTGTGTGTAAGGAAGAGAGAACGACAAAGAGAACCACTGAATGTTAGTGTCTTTGCCTGGTTGTACAGCTGCATTTATGCAACAGACATTTACATCTGTATATGTGAAGAAAAAAAACACTCACATTCTGACCAAAAATATGTGTCTCTGCATGCAAATGCATTGTATCTCATTGTCGTCATTTCATTTGTTTTGAACATATGTATATGATAAATGTTACACATGCAACATTTATCTGTTATGTTTGAAATTGGGCACCTCACTGTACCTCAGCCAAATTCACTGTAGCCACACCCATACACTACACAATCTAACAACAACAGTTAGTTCTGCTTAAAGCACAAAGACATGTAGAATCATACACCTGCAGATTTAATCTGTAAATGTTTTTATTCAGTGGGAACAAAGTCAACTACAATGATGTATTGCTTTATGAGGAGCAATACACCCTAAAAAAAAGTCATCTCTCACCTGCTGAGGGTCTCACCAGCAAATCCGCTCCATGAGAAGGGTGCCCAACAGTGACTACACTGAGAAATCTATGCAGAAGATGATTATAAGCTGGTAATTGAGAAGGTTTAAGAACATCATGTTTTACTCCGGCACCAATTACATGTTGATCCTGAGAGCTGACAGTGCTTTTGAAACGAGCCCCTCAAGCAGAAGAGACACACTTTGCAATATTCTGCTGATGTACACACACTCACACGTTGGATGAATGTGAATGAGAGCTTTTGTTTGTTTTAAATGCGATGTCAGCTCTTTGAGACAAAAAAGATATTCATACATATGGGAAGCAGGACGATCAATATGCAATCTGTATGCATGTGTGTGTTTGAGGTTAAACGTTTTCTTTTCGTTTGACCCCCAGAGCCTGATAGTGTGGCATCCACTGACACAATATGTACAGTTCTCCACCCCCCCACATCATAGAGGCCTGAAAACATCCATCAACGTTGGTACAGTGGATAATGGATTTTCTTTCTATGAAATGAAATGTGAGAGAATAATGTAAATAATAACTAATGGATGAAGGAGCAAAAACCATGTACAATATACTGTATGTGAAGTCTGGATTTAAAATGTAGTATTATCTGCACTTTACAAGACAAAAAGGACAATCTAAGGACAAGAAAAACATGTGAAATAAAAAATGCATATAATCCTTCCAAATGATCATAACCCTGACGAAGTAATATCAATAATGAAGCCAATAATAATTCAACTGAAATGCTGTGGTGTCTTTTTTTTGCTTTTCAATGTGAAGAAGAATATGTAAAAGGTATTTTTCCCCAAGTTTCCAGCCTTTACATCACATTGTTGGCAGTGTATTTAATCCAAAAATGATTTAAGCTATTTTTAGCCGAAGAGCGTCTGCGCTGATGCAAAACGCCATGCATCGATCAAAGGCCTCTTTGTTGTTATTCTTAGGACATCCAGCGTCTTTGTAGCCAGGGGCTGTGTGGGAGACATTTTCAAACGCCTCCTGGTATCTTCAGCTTCATCCTCCCTTTAAGTGCACGGTATATGCTCCCTGCAGTTAAAAGAGAGCACGGGGTGTTCTATTAATAGCCTTTTTGTTGGAGAAAGAGGAGGATGGATGTGAGCAGAGGAGGAGACGGAGAGAAAGGTGAAGAGGAAGGAAAAACATCTTAAAAAATCCTTCATAGTGAACTCTTAAAGCAGCACAAACCTGGAGCCACAATAGGAAAAATGACATGTGTTTTTTGGGGCAAAATGTTTACTTCAGATTTTCTCCCACTGCAATTTGGCCATTATACACGCAGGTATAATGTATGTCTCTCAGGTGATGTTATACTCCTTTCTTCCGATGATAAATGTTTGCATCTGCTCTCCTGTCACATTGTACTATTTTGGAGGTAACTGCCATCTGGTGTTGTGCTGCTGTCTGCTATCTTTAGTCCGCTTGTGGTTAAACCACAGCTCTGCATTGCTAGCGGGAACTCTTGGGGCCTCGGTGCTTTAGCTACATCTCTGCTGTATTCATTAATCTTGCTTTGATCCAGCGTTGCACCACTCTGCAGCTCTGTGTGCTGAAACCAGGGCAGACAGGGAGAGGCAGGCGGGATGGAGAGCACAGGCCTGCTGCCAACCTGATCTCACCAGAATGCGTGACTCCACCACGACTCCTTAACACCACATTGCGTGGTGGAGTCACGCATTATGTTACATTTACCTGTCGGCACCACGCAAAAAAAAAAAAATGTAAAGTGAATGAGGCTCTTTTGTCGTGGTGCACACACGCATTTCTACGTCCCGCAGTGAGCTTTTATTCTATAAAACGTTTTTAAAATCTACTATATAGCTTGTAGTAACTCACGGGAGGCTTCTTTTATTTTATTTGTATTCATAATAATTTTTATTTTTCGTCAGAATGTAAAAATTACATTAGTTACGAATTTTTGTTCTCAAAAAACAGTGCATTGTGTGTAATACAACTGTGATTTTTATTAAATTAGTTACTTTTTTAAGGAAGGCCAGAGCTTCAGCTGTGTCAATAGATTGTTCCCTTTAGTTAACGTTATTTAAAAGATAATGATCATGTCCCCTTTATTGTATTACGAGCGTCCATTCCCATTGGATAATGGAGAATTTTACACCCGGAAGTAAGTATTCTCCTTACTGTCGATTGATTTTACAGTGATATCTGCACTACTCATCGACTAAAAAACACCAAATTATCCTTGTTAATTACACAACATTGATTGGTTTAAATTGTGTACAATGCTTTTGTATTTTTCCCCTTCGATTCGGAGAAACGAATATTTGTTCGGAGTTTTTGGATGGCAGAAGACACTACACTACCCAGAATCCTCAGCTATCGTTTGGGACTACACCATGTGCTTAGCTTGACAAACCCCGTGATCAGTCCCCAAGCTCTGTGATTGGATGTTGGAGTGGCAGTGCGCGAAGTTTACACGGAGCGTCAAAAAGCACCTTGAAATGGAATGAAACCCATCGACGGCACACTATTCAAAACAGGAATCGAACGTGTCCTATCCCCCCCCCCCCCCTTAGGTCGCAGGCTCCTCCAACAGTGCAACACAATAAAACAGATACACAGAAAAAATAGTGAAATAGTGCAATAAGAGTCTATATACAAGTGATTGGTATCTTTTTATTTTTTTATTTAACCAGATAAAAGCATTGAGATACAATCTCATTTTCAATGCTGACCTGGCCAAGAAGGCAGCAACGTTACACATAACACATAACACACATATAAAAGAGAACATAACTAAGAAAACAAAAGACAAAAAAGCAGTCACTACATTGTGAATATGATATATTAGATACATAATTTCTAAGTAGCAGCCAGATGAATGTTATGGATGTTGTTTCTAAGTTCAGGTGTTTAATAGTCTTCTGGCCTGTGGGATGAAGCTGTCCCTGAGTCTGATGGTTTTAGTCCGGATGCTGCGGTACCGCCTGCCAGACGGCAGCAGACAGAACAGTTTGTGGCTGGGGTGATGGGGGTCTTTTATCATCCTGAGGGCTTTCTTTAAGGTTAACGTGGTGTTTTTACTCCACTACATTTATTTTAGTTACTTTACAGATTTGGATTAATGATGTGAAATATAAACAACCCTTAAATCAGACTTTAGTTACACCTGAGTAAAATTCAGTGAAGGTGATTGTCAAGTGCCAACAATCAGGAGAGATATTTGATAGTTGGTGCTTGAGAAGACTAAACATTTATCTGCAGATCCGTATAAAGCATATGCATTACTCGTTATTCTCTAATCGTTCATTAAAGACTGTATATAATTGATATTTTGCACATCCCTTTCAAGATTTTCAAAGGTTTATTGACATATCATATACACAACTACGGTGTAGTTATGCAATGAATGCAAAACTTGGGTCACAGGTTCCTCAACAGTGCATTACAAGACATCTATCAATATGTGTATACCTCCACCATTAAACTGTCATATTCTGCACATTTATTATTCTATCTAACATCTTATAAGAGTATAATAAATATGTATAATATCGGTTAAAATAAGTGCTTCAACATAGTTAACATTGCAGGAAAGTTGATTGTCAATTTCCAAAACAAACCATGCAATATATATTAGACGTTAAGTACTTTGTCAGGCTTAATAAGTATCTGTAGATAGATACCCCCAAAGCTTTTTTCTTATTTAAAAGAAGACCTTAGCCTAAAGTATTCTTTAATGTTTAAATAAAGCCTTATTAGTTTGTTTGTTTTGCACATCCTCCTATCAGGCACTAAACTGTTTTTATTGTAGATATTATTTACAGTATCTTCTTGATATTTTCTATTCTATATTTATATCATTGACCTTCTACTTTCCCACTATTTTGTATGTACTCTTAATATTTAAATGTTTTCATCAAATATAACACATTCAAAAGTGCTTTACAAAAATGAAAGACATTAAGAAAAAGGCATTTTAAACAGTCATTAAAAAGCAACATAATCTACCTGCATTGCAATTACTCCAAACGTGTAATAACGTGCTTTAACCAGTAGGAGGTGCGGGTTAAAAAACTGTCAAGTTTAAAGTGTTAACAAAATAAAATATACTGCTGTTTCTGGTTTAGTTTACGACGGATATATTTTGTTATTGTTTTGATATTTGTAACACAAAAGCGATGGAAAAACCCCACAGCAACACAGAAAATATGGTCTTAACATGACCCAGCGGTCTAGTAGTTAATAAAAAACAATAATATCAAAACAGATTATTACTACTAACTTTATTGTGAAATTAAAACAGAACTTGGTGTTTTTTAGTCGATGAGTAGTGCAGATATCACTGTAAAATCACTCGACAGTAAGGAGAATACTTACTTCCGGGTGTAAAATTATCCGTTATCCAATGGGAATGGACGCTCGTAATACAATACAGGGGACATGATCATTATCTTTTAAATAACGTTAACTAAAGGGAACAATCTATTTGACACAGCTGAAGCTCTGGCCTTCCTTAAAAACTAACTAATTTAATAAAAATCACAGTCGTATTACACACAATGCACTGTTTTTTTAGAACAACAATTCGTAACTAATGTAATTTTTTACATTCTGACGAAAAATAAAGATGATTATGAATACAAATAAAATAAAAGAAGCCTCCTGTGAGTTACTACAAGATATAAAGTAGATTTTTATAACGTTTTATAGAATAAAAGCTCACTGCGGGACTTTGTAGAAATGCGTGTGTGCACCACGACAAAAGAGCCTCATTCACTTTACATTGGGTTTTTTTGCGTGGTGCCGACACGTAAATGTAGCAGAATGCGTGACTCCACCACGCAATGCGGTGTTAAGGAGTCGTGGTGGAGTCACGCATTCTGGTGAGATCAGGTTGCCTGCTGCAGGTGGCCAACACTGCCTGTTGTTGTTGTGGTTGTTGTTGTTGTGGTTGTTGTTGTTAGGGTATGTGTGTGTGGGTATTAGTCAGCGAGGGTAGCATGCCCACAGGAGCACGGTTGAGCAGTCAGGCTGACTTGCCCTGTAAATACCAGCTTGTAATTAGGAGAGCGCTGTGGGATTTGTGCTAATCCAACAGGGCTGCCCTGGCACCGGACCACACCCCGTTATTAGGAGTCGTTCAGCTTTTCACACTCATTAACTCCTGCCCTGATATCAGCCACCAGTCCTCACTTAGAAGCCTTGCTTCCTAAATATACTTTCATCATCAAGATAAACATACTGTAGCCGGGACTGGTTATAGTTGTTCAGTGAAGATTCAATTGTTGGAGATGTTCAGTTTTATTTGGGACCTTGTTTGTGCAGTGATGAGGGGAAAAAAAAGAAAAATGCATTACCGCCCCCTAGGGGTGCTGCTGCAGAAATGACACAATGTGCATCAGTTTCTCCCTGATTAAGACTAAAGAAAAGTCATTTTTGTCATGAGGATATAAGTCAGTGGTGGAAGAAATATACTGATTCTTTACTTAAAAACACAATAACCCCAAATACATTATATTTAAAAACGATCTACTAGATAGCACAAGTAAAAGTAGGCTTCTCATTAATGACCCCTAAGTATTGTATACTACCTTATTATAAATAAATAACATTTTCTAAGTACTGTAGCATATTACTAATTCAAACTGTTATTTGAAAAAACAGACATGGGTATTGGGAAATGTATATCTGAAGTGTAAATA